CACTAGGTCTTATTAATGGGGTAGGGCTTATATTTAACAAATGCATAGAAATCCTGCTAGAGCTTATTTTTGGGGTAGGTCATATGTTCGGGGAAACATGGTAGTGATAAATACTCAACCAATTATTTCAATATTTCTGTCTTCTTCCTTTTCTACCCAGACTTCTTGCTTATTTATAATGAAGTTTCCTGCTTATTTATAATGAAGATATGTAATAAATTATTCATCTCGGGAATATTTAAATGTTTAGATGTTCTTTTTAAATATTTTTGAATTTCAAAATAGGAGTAAAGATAAAACTAAAAAACAAAGATGCTAAACTATGGAATTCCAGATACAGATAGTTTTAGTAAGGGATCATTTTCATGACAGAATAAGTTTAAAATCACACCACTTGTAGATAAAATTGACCTTTGTACCAAAATATGTTTCCTTTTTCCCTCAAAGGAAAATTTTATTTATTTACTTGTTTAATTTCAAATGTTTTGTTACATTAATTCCTTGTACATACATAAAATGCTTCAGTTGGGGTGGTTTTATTTTTCCAATTTTTTACTTAATTTTTTATTAAATCATAACAGTATACACTTATGGGACACAATGTGATGATTTGAGGCACAATGATTAACATAACCATCACTTCACTGATTTTTAGTGGTAAAATATTTATAATTTACTCTTAGTTATTTTGAAATATGGCCTTTCATGGTGCACTTTAGGTGAGATCCCACCAAATGCCCTCCTTCCTCCCACCAATTGCCCTCCCCTATCTCTTCTTCCCTTGCCTTTTGCTAGACTACATTTGTGTTTTATCATTTGTATGAGTGTGCAAGTGTTTATGTTATTGGTTACATAATAGTATTGAGTACATTGGATGCTTTTTTCCCCATTCTTAAGATACTTCACTAAGAAGAATATGTTAAGAATCTACAGAGAACTCAAATTAATCAATGATAAAACAATAAACCAACCCATTTCTTTGTGGGCAAAAGACTTGAACAGAAACTTCTCTGAGGATGACAAGTAAATGGCCAATAAATACATGAAAAAAATTTCTCATCATCTTTGATCATCAGAGAAATGCAAATCAAAACCCATTTGAGATATCACCTAACACCAGTAAGGAAAGCCCAAATCACAAAATCCCAAAACTATAGATGGTGGCATGGATGTGTAGAGAAGGGAACATTTCTACACTGCTGGTGGGATTGTAAACTAATGGAAACAACCTTTATGGAAAGAAGTATGGAGAGTCCTCAAGGAATTAAACATTGACCTTCCATTTGATCCTGTAATTCCATTGTTAGTATCTACCCAGAAGAACAAAAATAATTTTACCACAAAGGTATTTACAACAGAATATTTATCGTAGCCCATTATCCATTAACAGAATAGTGTTCATTGCACCCAATAAATAAGTTCTACCCATCACCCTCTCCCAACCTCACCTCTTCTTGGTTTCCAATGTCCTTTACATCTCTTTGTGCCCATCGTTTAGCTTCTAATTATTTGCAAGTATATACGGTGTTTATTTTTCCATTCATGTACTAGGGTAATGGATAATGGTGTCTATTTCCATCTAAGAGTTGCTTCAAAAGACATTATTATATTCCTTTTTATGGCTGAGTAGTACCCATGGGGTGAGTGTGTGTGTGTGTGTGTGTGTGTGTGTGTGTGCACATGCCTACATATACCAATACATGTCAGATTTTCTTCTGTATTCATGAATTGGTAGGCACTTAAGTTAATTACACATTTTGGCAATTGTCAATTAAGCATGAAAGTGGAGGCATCTTTTTGATAAAATAGTGGATTCCAGTAGTGGAACTACTGGATCAAATGGTAAATCTATATTTATTTCTTTAAGGAATCTCCATACTGTTTTCCATAGAGGTTGTACTAATATGCAGTTCCTGCAACAATGTGTGTTTCTTTCCCCTTTGTATCTATGCCAGAATCTGTTTTTTTATTTGTTTGTTTGTTTTAATGTTAATAATGTCTATTTTGATAGGAGAAGGTGATATCTCATTGTGGGTTTTAATTTGCATTTCCCTGATGATTAGTGATGTTGAATATTTTTTCATATGTCTGTTGTCCATTTTTTAAATCTTCTTTTGGAAAACTTCTATTCATGTCTTTTGCCTACTTTCAAAAAATATCCCATGCTCATGTTTTGGTAGAATCAACATTGTTAAAATGTCTATCCTGCCCAACATGACTTACAGATTCAATGTAATCCTCGTCAGAATTTCAGTGTCATATTCAATAGATTAAAAAAGTAATAATTCTATGCTTCATTTGGAACCAAAAAAAGAGTATGAATAGCCAACGCAAAAAGGACAAAACTGGAGGCATCATATTATCTGACTTCGAATTATATTACAAGGCTATAGTAATCAAAATAGCATGGTATAGACCAATGGAACAGAATAGAGAACCCAAAAATAAAACCATCTACCTGCAAAGCAACTGACCTTTGACAAAGAAGACAATAACATACACTCAGTAAAGGAAACCCTATTCAATAAATATTGCAGGAAAAATTGGATAGCCATAAACAGGGTGAAACAGAGCCCTATCTTTCACAAAAGTTGAGAAAAGATGGATAAAAGACTTAAATATCAAACATGAAATCATAAAAATTCTGGAAGAAAACCTATGAGTAACTCTTCTAGACATTGGCCTAGGCAAGGAATTTATAACTGAGATCTCAAAAGCAAATATAGCAATAAGAATAAATAGGACTTAATTAAATTAAAAAGCTTATACACAACAAAGGAAATAATCAACAGAATAAATAGACAACCCGTTACATATGTAATAAGGGGGCCAATCACAGTTTACAAAGAAGCCGAACAAATTACAAGATAAAAAATCAAAATGTATTTCTAGGAGATAGAAACTATTTTTGCCTACTTCCTTTATATTGCAGTGTATACAAGTAAAAATAAAAAGTAACCCTTTAGGCTCGGCACTTGTGGCTCAAGTGGCTAAGGAGCCAGCCACCTACACCTAAGGTAGCAGGTTCAAATCCCGCCCGGGCCCACCAAAAACAACAATGATGGCTGCAACCAAAAAAAAAAGTGACCCTTCAAATTGTTAATAATATTATGTTTTTAATATATAACAGACAAAAAACTGACAAATGTAGTATCTGGCATCATGTTTAATTAGAATTTTGACATTTGAAAGTTCTAAATACTCTTTGCGTTTAAGATATATAGTTATAAAACAAAGCATTAACCTATGATAATTTCTTTTATTATTGTAGTTTGGGTTTGGCAAATTACTTTCATCGTGTAATCGAGAAATGCTTTGTTCATTATCTGGTCTTTGTTTAGCTAAAGGCAGCAATTCTCTAATATAAGCAATTCAGTAAAAGATGTATTATTTAATCACTTTTTTTCCTTTTTCCTTCTGGGTCTTTTCTTATACTTTCCTCTTTCTGTGTTCTCCTGTGTCTAATTTAATCCTGGTTATACAAGCACTAACAACTGGGAAAATATATGGCAAATATGAAGCAGACTTAGAGCAAGGGAGAAATAATTAAAGGTGTGAATTCCAAATAAAATTAAAAAAAATTAAGTTTACTGTTAGCCTAGACCACTGAAGGGGGAAAGTGGATTAAAAGTGCTATTCAATTAAGCATGATGTTTGATGTGTGTGTGTGTATTTAGGGGGGCCGCCCATGATTACCCAATCTATTTCAGCAGGAGAAAGTGAAGACAAACTATTGCTCAAGCAAATTAAGGCACTCATTAAGAAGCATTCTAGTCTTTCGGGTTTTGAGAGCATCTTTCATTCAAAGTTTTGCTGAATAGCATTTTATGTGAGAACATGTTAGAGATGTATGAGGGCAGAGAACAGACTAAGCATCCAATAAGGGGAGAGAGTTGATTGATAGACAACAGTGATGAGCTGGATTCAACAGATGTAGCTGAGAGACAGAGATGTTAATGCATTCACAGTGGATGTTATGTGGGGAAGCTGAGAGTCACCAAGGCACTTGCATATCAAGATACCCAGCATTTAAGCTAGTAAGCTCTCTCCTTAAAGACCATCTGGTTTGGCACATTCTATAAACAGCTTGATTGTGGACAGGCTTACCTTTCGATTACCCCCAATACATTATTTTATACTTGGCTCAAAAACTGTCTTTTTAAAATCTTTCCCTGATTGGTTACACTTACAGTCTTCCCCTAATATTTCACTGCCTTTCTGCTTTATCCTCATCCATCCTCCAGTCATGCTCCCAGGTTACCAAGTTGGAATGCAGCAAGAGAAGAAGTTGCTACAGTTGGGAGCAGGGGGTTAGGCAGGTGGTTGCTGAACAATGACCCATCAAGGACTGTGGTTAGTAGAAGGGAGAGGGCAGGCAGGTATCAGATTTCCTGCAGGAGAGGAAATGTCAACTGAATGCTCGGAACAGCAGGGACTCCAGCTTACAGTGGAAACAACAGCCACTGGTACCTGTCCTGTCTGTTCCTGGGCAGGTCTCACACTGGACCAGCAGTTAGCAGCTGTAAAGCCTTGTCTCCGGTCTTATTTTCCCCTGAGCTACAACAAACAGCAAGAGTAGCGACGGCAGCTGGAGAAGCGGCAGAGCCAGAGCTAGGCAGGGCTGTCGCTGGCGGCCAGCGCAGATCGCCTCCTCCTCACCACACACACACAAACACACACACACATCCTGCACAGACTTCTAATATCAACGCATCTTGATAAAAATCAAGGACTAAGAGATGAGAGAAGAGCGTTAGTCATGGACAACAGGTATTTCATCGCTGACAAATTCAGTTTCCTCCCGATGCTTACTGGTTCGGATACCAAAATAATCATTTGTGATAGCTAGCTCGAGTGGGAGCCTGGAGGACTGGAGGTGGCCGCTGTGGAGAAGGGGGGCGAAGTGAGGTGGGAGGAGTGAGAGATGGGGACGGGGGACGCCAAAGATGACTTTCAGGCTCCGGAAACCTACGTCTTTCAGCCTCCGCTGTTTTTGAGTTGCAAATGATCAGGGTCTGCTGAACTGCAGGCAGCCTGTGTTAGTGCCTGGAAGTAGATTTCCATCTCTCCGACTCTAGTTCCAATGGGCCGGCTGTTCTGGGAGGGGGTGGCAGGAGGGAGGAGGATGCTGTGAGCAGAGTTCTTGCAGCTCCGCTCCTCTGGGGAAGCCGAGCTGTGTGGGAGCCTTCCTTAGTGAGCCGAGAGCGTGTGAATTGGAAAGGATCCTGAGAGCGAGCTAGTCCCAGCTCCTCTCCGGAAAAGCAGTTCTCTCGCCTCAGAGATGCGCCCAGCCTTCGCCTGCATCACACTGCAGTAAGTTGAACTGGACACGGTTGGCAAATTGAGTGGCTTCTGGGTATGTGGTGCGGGGGAAGGGAAGCTGAGCAGAAATGGCGAGGAAAGTTCGGAAAGCAGAGCTTTGATTTCTGCGGGCAATGTTAAATCAGGTTGTCTCCCTGACTCCTGTCCTACTTAGGCTACAGTCGGGTTACTCTCAGCTGTTTGCAGACGGATTCCGCTGGCGTGTTGGGTATGCAGAAAGTGCCGGGTCCGCTGTGATTTTAGGCAACAAAAGTGGCAAAATGTGTTCTAGATTTAATTCCAAGAGGGGTCTCTCCAAAGTTACTGATGAGATGGGAGCTTGCCTTTTCCGAGGAAAATTCGTGAGGAGGCTGGGGTAGACGTTCAAATGCCCTAGTTAATCGTTACAAGTTCCATTCCAGATTTTTTCCTAATCTGTGAAACAAGCAAGCAAGCAAACAAAACAAAACAAGTCTTTGATTTACCATATTGAAACAGAATAGGTCTCCAGGTAACTGCTAGGCAACAGCCAGGGCCACTGATGATACGATAAACATTCAAACACTCTTCGGTGGGCGGCACGGAGGTTTCCTCAGTTTCTCTCGCTGCAATAATCTGCCCCACTTGCTTTCAGACTGGTGATTTTTACATAGATGCCTCTATACTTAGAAACCAAGCAGCATTGTGTTCTCTGGCAGAAAACGAAGCCAGAAAAAACTTTTAAAAAACAACTTCAACTGGTTGCTCAAATTGCAGATAACCAACTCTTAAAAACAGGTCAGTGAGGGCCAGCTCATTGTAAAGCAGCAAATGACCAACTAAACCTGAATGCCTGCAGAATACCAAAGGTCTTTTTTAGAAAGGAAACCAGAAATAATTATTCTAAAAATGATGGGGTATCTAATCAAGGCCACATTTTTATGGGAAAAAAGAAAAGGAAAATAAAATCCTTCAAGCAGAAAAAATACATTACACAAAAAGTTAGACTTAATTGGATAATCATTAGAGAAATTACTATCTTATTACGTTTTTCTCCAAGAGAGATTATTGAGAAAATGAAAATTACCTAAAACAGAATCCAAGATTTTGGATTTTAAAGCTTAAACTGAATACTTCCATATACTACCATACATTCTATAGGATAAGTAGGCTCAAAACTTGTGAGATAACTATTGTGAAATGCAGAGTAATTCTGAATCCTCTGTCACTAGAAAAGAAAGTAAGGACCACTTTTATCCCATTATTTTAGTTTTAAAATGTATTATTCCTTCTCTAAGCCATCCAATCTTCATAATTTTACTAAAAATCAAACATGTCCAGAATGTAATATTAGATATTTTGGCTACTATTTTACTCATCTCGGAGATCTCCAAATATAAAGGCTTATTCAATGTTCTTGGTATTATTGGAGTACTTGATATGATATAGTCAACCCATTCCACACCTGTAGTTTCCCTGTACATAATGACACATGACTTTGCCAATCCCTGAGTGAAATACAATCCAGGGATATATCTGTTATGATAGTATATACATGATAATGGTCAAAACTTTTAAACAGTGATAAGAAAGGCTAACAAGCGCCTTTAAAAACTAGAAAAATATGGTTGTAACAAGGTTACAAACAATTCTGATACACTAGAATGTAGCATTACTTGAACTTCTAGTATTTAGCTAAAGAGAAAGAAAATGAGGCTGAGAGCCCTAATAAAAATTGATTAAAATTTCTTTAAAGGTAGAAACTTAGGTGGAGTTGAGTATGACAATGCCTTTGCTCCATATTTTTCACCCCCTACTGATAAACTAAGCTCATGTTCTATCTAGGAAGATTATCAAAATCATTTTGATGATAAAGCAATTATTTAATAAGCAATTATTTAAATTGTTGAATAAAGCAATTATTTAAATTGTTGAGTATTTTAAGTGAAAACCCTTGGTAAACTTTGCTGAGACAGTGTTTGAACTAGGCAAGTACCTTATGACAGGCTTTTCCTTGCATACTTTTGGAAGAAGAAAGAGTTGTAACCAGACAAGCCGGACAAAGACATCTGCTGATCCTCAAATCTCATTTTGCCTCCTGATAATGACCCTGATGTGCTCTATAGGCTTTAAATGCCATTTTAGGATTATCTTTTCTTGGATACGTCTCCTCCTGGCTGGCCTTAGAAGCAGAACTGTATTTATGTATGCCTGATACTCTGGCATTATTCTCTGAAGACTAATACCTCTAGCCCAGGAGGACCCACCCAGGGGAAGCTTTAAGCAAAATTGTGACTAAGCCTCTTCCTAGTGCTTCACTCCCATCCATACTATTTTCTCTCTTGTAAAACATCATTTACAACATCTGACCTCAAGTCAGAGTCCCACGTGCTGTTCACCCTTAAATATTAACTATGAAGTAGATTCAGCTCCTTGGCAGCTTCCTGGATTATTTCTATGTATGTTTGCCCATCATGCAATGAAGGACTAGTTGGCAGTTGTTTTGCATTGGAGAAATTGCAGCTACTGAGTCAAACTTTTTGAGCATGTCCTCTCATTTATGGTATAACAGACACAGGAGGGAGATAGCATTCTCTACCACACAGAAGAAACTCAAACCCAGATGGAATACACAAACTGCTAAAAGTAACCCAAACACATTTAGGAAGTGGTAGTAATGATTATCCCCCCCAACCCCCGCCCTCCTAGAGTGACCAACTCTAATTCTTAATCGCTTTGCTAGTTTTTTTTTTAAGTAGTACTGGAATGTGGACCAGGTGGGGTGAGTGTATCATTTTGTGAATTCAGTGGGTGGTGAGTACTTGAGAAATTGTACCAATGAGGAGAGATCTCCCTGCTTTGATGATCCCCAAGATTGTATCTACCTAGAGCGAAACCTACATTGACCCCAAATCCAAACATACGATGCTCACCATTCCATTTTTGGATTATGTTTGCTATGCAAACTATGGAAATATCCAGGGGGGCATAAACAGGAAGGATAATGATGGAGTTAATATGGGACGAGAGAAGTTGGAAGATCCCCAGACAAAAGAAAATAAGAGTATTGCCTGGTAGAAGGCTGGTCTAAAAATACGTTCAAATTCTTTTTCCTGAGGGACAATGAAGAACAAACTCTCTGGGATGTGTGTGGGGTGGAGAGCTTTAGTCACAGATAAAGCACAGACTCTAAACATTTCTTTAAATAGTTGTAGTTCTGATTATAAAAATTAGATTAGGCTTGTCTTCAGATAATCTCCTTTACATACATTTTTTTAAATAGAAAAAGATGACAATTCAAAGAAAAGTGGGGGAGGAAGGCCAGATGATGACTGGAGAGGTAAAACAGTAATTGGAAAAATCACTGGTTCTTGCATAATCGTTTTCTGAACATTTGCCAGGAAGCAAAAGGCCATCTTTGACTGGTGAGGAGAAAAACACAATGGTTCATTTAGGTAAAATGTGAAGTGTTACGGAGACGAACACGATCACTGTCCCTTGTCTTCTTATTACAGAAGACAAACACTAACAAGGAATAAAATGAAAATGTTATGGCATCGAGCCAAACAATATTTTAAGATTGGTCTTTCTCAGCATGCTAAATTTAAACAGCTGAAATTCTTTTTTAAGGATTATCTGAGTCAACAATTTGAAATGAAGGATTTGCCTTTTACAGGGAATTTGTATTGCATTGTAGATTTGAAACACAATGTCCTTGCCTCAGTTATTTTTGATTGGCAATATGCCAATCACTATAGATGCAGGGAGCACAAAAGCTGTTAATGTCAAAATCAGAGGATAAATGAATATATTCCATAAGCAAAGTTCGTGCTCCTGAGCTATTGTCAGATTTGGATGTGGGGATGAAGGGTTGCGAATAATATTCACGTGGTTGGCTCTGATTCGTTCTCTTGTCATGTGTGACACTTCGTGTTGGGGTTGGAAATAGAGTTAATTTTGAGTGTTCCCTTTTGAATATGGTGCTGAAATCAGTTCTTTTGCCCATTGGCTCTCTTCCTTTTGTGGTTTAAAAAGAATGATAGTAACTTTTATTGAGTGCTTGCTACGTGCCAGTTGCTTTTATAAGCATCTTGTACACTTAATTTTGATAGCAGCCTGGGAGGACAATTCTATTATTATCTCCATTTCCATTCTGGAAAAGAGCAAACCAAAGAGCAACAAGGTTAAATGATTTGTCCACGGTTACTGACTAAGGTTTGAACCTTTAGAGGCTGGTTCTAGATTCCATGCTTTTTCAAAAGGCTTTAAGTTTTCTATTAACTATCACTGGTTTATTTGAACCCTCCACAGTCTGTGTTATGTGACACCTCTTTTTATCTCTGCTACACCTGCCTCCTTCTCTGCAGTTTACTTCTTGACTCCCAAACCCCTTTGCTGCCTTCCCACACTCATGTGCATTTTTATCTCCTAATTTTCTGCTCTAGTATAATGGCACTCAGGACTTTCTGTTTGGATTCTACCACTGCTCAACTGGCTTTCTCTGTGGTTCTGCTGAAACTTATACTTGCCTTAATTATTGAATATGTCACAGAGAAATAAAACCATCTGTTTTCTACATTTAGGAAGGGGATCAAGCCTTATTTATTTGCAATTATAGTGCTTAGCAAGATGTCTGATCCAATATTAAAGCTCAGTAAACACTTCTTTTATTTTTATTTTTTTAAACACTAATTTTAATAAACTGAATTCAAGGCTCTAATTCTATTCCCTGAGAGGATAGTTAGTCCCCATTTGCACAATATTTAGTCTTGACCTCCCTTCCCAATGACTGGAGAATTACCTTTCAAATACAAGTTATAAGATCTGAGCCAAGGAGTCTATTTTAATACATAGAAGTCACGATTAGTATAAAATTACTCAGAACATAATCATCTTTGTAGTATTACATATTTAGGATATAAGGTACAATATTTTGGAATATGACAGATGAAAAAAACAACATATTTATTTCCAGTTCACAAAACCAAAATATTTACTGATACCTATTTTCTAGTTTCAGGTTATTAATTTAT